TTTTTTGAATCATCATGTTACTGCAATCAAGTTTTGTTCAACCGGATTTTTCTTGAAAATATTGACGTACATGACATCAATATTTAAGATATTACATACAAGATATGGATTGATTGATATAAGAATTAAAATCAAGGTGAACAACTGTACTCTTTTTACTTAAATCAAGTTTTGCCCTATTGAGTTTCTTGACATGGTTTTGATTAAACAATATTTTGTAATGTGTCGTTTAAGGGGGAGTGTTGTAAATGTTAAGTTTATTAGTGAATGAAATTGTACCACCACAATCCTAAAAATTATTATCATTGTATTCATAATCATTCCTTATAAATATGAGAACTTGATTTTTATTATAATACACACAAGCCTATTGACTTTTATTTTCTCATCTTTTCTCTTTAATTTATAACAAAATTTAATTTATTCTAATTTTATATTTGATAAACAAATATCTGAAGAATAAAAAACGAATTAGAACAAGTACTTAAATCATAATCGAACACTTAAAATCCATTTCGTACTATAAATTATGTTGCACTAAAATTTTGATACTTCAAATTTTGATGTGCTAAAATTTTAATCGAGGGAACAACCCATGGAACAATGAGGAAACACCAAACCTAAACTCAATTTTATATTCATATGAAGCTCTGTTTTATGATCATTATTTTCAAAAAATAATATTTTGAATAGTGATTTTTTAAATAATGTTTGGTTAAAAGAGTAGGAAATTTTTTTGGCTTTGCATACAAAATATTTTATTGTGTTACAGTGATTGAAAATGAGTGAGAATTAAAGAATTTGGAATAATGATTGTCAAACAGGGCCTAAACATTCAATTAATTAATAGCATTTAAAAAATAATTTATATATTCATTATTTAAAAAGATCAATTCTTAGAAGGAAAATTGCTGAGCTAGTCAAAGGGCCGTTCGCACGTAGTAATCACCAACTATCTATTTATCCAACCGAATATGCCGAAATAGTCGAAAATACGCACGCCTGCCACCTACCATTTCACAGCACGTGCCACGTGCAATGCCACGCGGGGGCCTGCATGCACCAATCTCTCTAAAGCTAAATACGGCTCTCTCTACGTGCAAACCCGTGCAGTTTTGTCTCAAAGGTTGCTTATTTATTTGAATCGAATTATCAAACTGTGTTGTGGGATCTGTTGAAGAGGAGAAAAGAAAGGAAAATTAATGGAAGGAGTGCATGTTTCTACAAATCCAGAGATTCCTGGTGAGCCATCCCAGACTGGAACAGCCCTTGTTGAGAAGGCCACCGCCACTATTCAAGGTTTTGGCCATGTTAACAAAATCCACCAGCATCTCTGCGCGTAAGCCCTGCCCATCTCTAATTTCGCTTGTTTTGAACTGATTTGTATAATTTTATAGAAAAATGGACGTGATTATTTACCTGTTTGTTAAAATGTCTGTTTGGTTTCAGATTCCATTTCTATGGGCACGATATGACTCGACANNTCTATGGGCACGATATGACTCGACAGGTGGAAGCGCACCATTTCTACGGGAATCTAAACGAGGAATTCAGGCAATGTCTTATATATGACAGGCCTGATGATGATGGGCGGCTGATTGGGCTAGAATATAAAGTATCAGAGGAACTTTTCTTGACACTGCCGGATGAGAAGAAATTCTGGCATTCCCACGAATTTGAGGTGAAGAGTGGGTTCTGTTCATGCCCGGAGTTCCCGGCCCAGTCCAGCGCCAGGAATTAGAGAAGGTTGCCAAGACTTATGGCAAAGTGATTCACTTCTGGCAAGTTGATGAAGGCGACAAACTTCCCCTTGGAATTCCACAAGTTTTGATGGCTCTCACTAGGGATGGCCAGCTCTATGAGAATCCTGTCCAAGGTAATATGGGAAATTGTTTAGTTCATTGTTACATCTAGTGTTTCGACTTTTCTAGTTATGATTTTTTGTTTGCAGATGTTGAAAACCGTTAAAATATTTCCTTTGAGAAGGAGAAGGAGAATCGAGCATACGTTAAGGGCACTTCCCGTGGAATACATCCAATGGCGAATGCAGGTGACGAAGGGCTGCAAACAGTGCTGAGGGAAGTGGACTGCTGCAGGGAAGGGAAGTCTACTCGAGTCTTTGTGTGACTCTATTGCCGTTACTTCTAGTGCTGTCTCTGGGTTTTTGCCTTGGGTTGCTAGGAATCAGTAGTATAGTAGCATTGAACAAATAATTTGCCACTAGAATAAATGTATTTTTGTGTACAATCTTCCCTGTAATTTCTCTTGGGTATATAGGTGGTTCATCTTTACTTTTACTATTTACTATGATAGTATTAAGGAAAAGAAAAAGAAAAAGAAAGTCATTGGGATCCAAAAGGGAGAGCAGAAAAAGGAAAGGGAAAGGGACCTTCATATTTTAAAGCAGAATTTGAGTGTCAAGATCTTTTAATCTGCTTTCCAATGTGATAATGGGGGTGTTTCTGAATTGAATTCTGCTACACTTACGGTCATTAGAGGCTGTAATTTTAATTACTGGGTTCCACACTAATCAGAAAGGGCTGTAAAAATTACAGCCTTCTAATGAACTGTACAATTAGTATTTTTGTCTTCTGCAACGTTTTTTAAACGTTGCGAAAAATAAAAAATTTTGCAACACCAAAAAAACGTTGCAAAAGGGCAACACTAGCAACATTTGCTTAAAAAATGTTGTCAAAGCTCAATATTGTTAAGCAATG